CTCCCTTGACACCTGTAGCAGTAAAAGAGGAAGTACAGGGAAGGAAAGGAGGAAGGAAGCCTTACTTCTCTGACATTGCCCATCAACCATGCTGGTGATCTCATTAGTCTTGTCCTGGCCTGTGCCTGTGACAGCCATTAGTCTTGTCCTGACCTGTGACAGCCATTATAGCTGAGTTTCCATTACTGGGATGTTAAACATCCACTATTTGAAGCGAATTGATCCTGCTGATTCTTGGCTTTCAGTTTCCTTTCTACCAGTACCCTCACTTTAGAGAGACTTCCTCTCTTTGGAGTCACACGCGGCTGTGTTGGACTTCCTTGGCCATTTTCCACTTCTAATATATATATTAGGTCTGATGCCAGTGTGGTTGCCATTTCTAGTTGGTTCAACAAGACTCATTTCTTTCCCCAGGTGCTGAGGGGTTCTATTTAGGATTAAATCAAGGGTTGGTTGAAGCGGAGCCCGGCTTTTACCAGGATGTTTCCCATTGTCTAATGAATCTGAACTCCTCCTCTGTATTACACTGCTTCATCTGTTCATTCAGAATCCTCAGCTTTGGCTTTCCATGCATGGAACAGGTAGCATTTCAGAGAATGCTACTTAAACTGAGTAAAGGACCCATAATTTGTCCAAGTTCTTGAGGACCAGTGAACTTTAAACTGGGAAGAAGCTAGAGCTGCAATTCTAGCCTTGCTGGAGTTAAAGAGAATGGGGCACATTCCTACCAGGGAGACACATTCTGCAACTTTTAGCTTGACTTAGGGCTTTTGGTATTCTTTTGTGTAGAATAACCCAGAATATTGGTGTAAAATATAAAACCCATATTAAAGAGATGTTGTGGTGTCCAATAGACACAAAGACAAGAGCTGTGTTGAATAAATTGCAGTTAATGTGCTTCTTCTAGGCAGGCAACCAAACAATTTCTAACCTGAATTTTCTGGGAAATAATTTCTCATTGGTTCATGACAACCTCAGGTATTGTACTTTCAAATGGACACACCTGGAAGCAGCAGAGACGGTTTGGTGTAGTGACGATGCGGAAGCTGGGACTGGGGAAGAAATGCATGGAACACCAAATCGAAGAGGAGGCCAATCAACTTGCGGAGACTTTTGCACATGCAAAGGGTACGCAATCTCTGCAGATGATCCTGGCACACGTCCACGTCTGCTGAAATCTTCTTCTACTCTGTACATTTCGGAGTGGAATTTCATGTATTTGAGTAGATTTCTTAGAAGTAGCAAAAAAGAGTCGAGGTTGCAATAGTCTCCCATGTCCCCCCATGAAATCCAACTTTTACTGTTAACCGGAGGGGTTGGATTAATATTAATATATCTTCATTTGCAGGCCAGCCACTCGATCCTGCTTTGCCCATCACCAATTCCGTCTGCAATGTGATATGTGCCGTGACTTTTGGACACCGCTTTTCTCTCGAAGATGAACAGTTCCAGAAACTGGTCAAAGCAGTTGATGACGGCTTAAAATTTGCAGGCAGTTTCTTTCACATTGTGAGTGGCTCTTGTTTTTCCCTGCTGAACACTGAGGTCTTCCAAAGACTGATCTTTCCTTTCAGCATTTCAGCATATAAAACATTCTGAAACTCATTATGATAGGAAGCTGGAGTTGCTGTCTCCCAGCTTATCCATTGGACCACATACCCTATTACAAAGGTACCTATGAAATACAAACCTGGCGATTCAAGATGGGTCCTTGGTATCCTCTAGTTTGGAACAATTTTGTTCAACCAGCTCCCTTCTTATCCCAGTAGCAAGCTTCCAAAGGGGTGTCCATTTGTTTAGTGTTATTTTACTTCTCTGTTCAGTAATCCTGGATCTCAGTAGCCCTGGATCAAAAGCTCTCCTACATGGAGCAAATTATAGAAAGATAGAACAGTAGAGTTGGAAGGGGCCAATATGGCCATCAAGTCCAACCCCCTGTTCAGGGCAGGACACCAAGTTCAACCATCCCTCTCAGATGGCTGTCCAGCTGCCTCTTGGATGCCTCCAGTTGGTCATAGGTGGCCTTTATCTTCCTCTGCTGCCTTTGACTTTGCCCAGCATGATGGTCTTCTCCAGTGAGCCTGGTCCTCTCATGATGTATCTGAAGTACGACAGCCTCCGTTTTGTCCTTCTTGCTGCTAGGGCAAGTTCTGGCTTGATTTGCTCTGGGACACACTCGTTCCTCTTTCTGTCGGTCTCGGGTATTCTCAAGGCTCTCGTCCATGTTTTGAATGCATCTGTTTTCTTCTTCCCAGCATTCTTCACTGTGCAGCTTTCACACCTAGACACAGTGCTCGGGAATGCAATGGTGTGCATGATCTTGGCCTTTGCTCCCAGTGAAACACCCTTACATGGGATGCTCTTTTCTACTTCGTTCTTTGTTGCCCCTCCAAGCCTCAGTCTTCCTCGAATTTCTGGGCTACACTTCCCCTTTGAAGAAGTGGCTGAGCCAAGGTATACCAAACCTTTCACACTTTTGATTTCTTCATTATTGACAGTAAAATGCCCTAATTCCTCTGCAGGAATGTTTGTTTTCTTTGTATGCAGTTGCAGTCCTGATTTTTCCCTGCAGCTGTATGAAACATTCCCGGGCATCATGAAGCATCTTCCAGGGCCTCACGAAGAGGCATTCTCTGCACTGCAGGAGGTGCTCTCCCATGCAAGGCAGGAGGCAGAGGAGCACGAGGAGCAGGGGTCCTTCCACGAGCCACGGGACTTCATCGATTTCTATCTCCTGCAGATGGAGAAAGTAAGTGTCCTCTTGCTATCTGAGCTTTTCTCATCCAAGGAATTGCCCCACTTCCTGCTTTAGTTTTTCTAGAAGTGGCCTTTAAACCCACCATCAGTCTTTGCTTCCCCCACTACAATTTATGCAGATTGTGATGAATGCTTTACACAGCAGTGCTGTTTTACTCTCTTTTTTGGTAGCTTGCAAATTACAGGCAGTGTTGTTGTTGCTAGTTGTGAAGTCATGTCCAACCCATGGCCACCCCATGGGCAACATTCCTCCAGGCCCTCCTGTCCTCCACCATCCTTGGAGTCCACCTAAACTCACACCAACTGCTTCAGTGACTCCATCCAGCCACCTCATCCTCTGCCGTCTCCGTCTTCTTTTGCCATCAATGGTTTCCAGCATCAGGCTCTTCTCCAGGGAGTCCTTCCTTCTCATTAGGTGGCCAAAGTATCTGAGTTTCATCTTCTATATCTGGCCTTCTAAAGAGCAGTCAGAAGGAGGAAGGGAATTCAGTGACAGATGTGAGGGAACAGGCAAGGATGTTAAATGACTATTTTGCCTCTGTGTTCTCCGCAATGCAGGATGGAGAGGATCGGCATGGGGGATGAGGTGAGGCTGGGGATTTAAGGGCACAGATTAGAGTCACCCCTCCTAGATGTTGAGGAGCTCCTCAGGTCACTGGATGTGATAAGGCACCAGGCCCTGATGGGTTTCACCTGAGGATACTTAGGGAGTTGGCAGGGTACTCCCACACCTGCTGGGCTCCCTTTTTGAGGCCTTGAGGAGAACAGGTGAAGTTTCCGAGGACTGGAGGGTGGCATCAGTGGTCCCAATCTTCAAAAAGGGTAGTAGTGGGACATAGGGATTAACAGGTCAGTTAGCCTTACATCCATTCTAGAAAAAACAGTAGAAAGGCTCATAATAGTGAGATATCTGATAACCCTGGATAGGGAGTGGAGGTTGGTGACCCCACAACACAGCTTCCATAAAAACAGGTCCTGCCAGACGAACCTTGTGGAATTTTATGACAAGGTTTCAAGATGGCTAGACAGAGAGGACATGATGGAGGTGGTTTACCTTTATTTCAGCAAGGCCTTTGACAAAGTGTCACATGATATCCTGGTTGACAAATTGAGGAGTTTTGGGATAGACCGATGCACTGTCCAATGGATTAGGGCTTGGTTGATGGACCGAAAACAGAGGGTAACTATTAGTGGGGAATCATTGGGATGGCAGACAGTGATGAGCAGGGTTCCCCAGGGCTCTGTCCTGGGACCGATCCTGTTCAATCTTTCATCAATGACCTGGAAGAAAGGGTAACAATTCTGCTAATCAAATTTACAGATGATACTCAAATGGGGGCGGTGGTCACAAGTACAGGCTAGGGGACAAGTGGCTGGACAGCAACGCTTGTGAAAGGGTTCTTGGGGTAGTGGTCACCTGCGAGCTAAGTATGAGTCACCAGTGTGACACAGCAGTCAAGAGGGTGAACATCACCCTTGGATGTATAGCCAGAAGCTTGGCTTCTAGATCGAGAGAGGTGTTACTGCTGTAAGATATCCACAGCACACCCACCTGCTCTCCATCCACTTGGGTGCCCTCCCCGTTCCTCCAGGTACCTTCATGGGCACACACTTCCTGTGTCTGTGCCCTTATTCCACCACCCTGACTTTCCCTGGTGCTCTGCTTTTGCTCCACTTCAGAAGTTCCACCTGCATCCACTGCAAGGCTAATACTTCTCCCACAAAGACAGACTTCCTTTCCATGCTTGGACCACTGTGCAGGCATGATGTGGGCGATTGCATAGCTCTGAACAGCCATTTCTCTGCCTTCCTGGCCCCAGCTATGATTCTATGAATCTCTCATGGTGCTGAGTCAGAACAAGCATTAAAATAAAATTCGGAGAACTTCAGCCTGCTCAAATTCCCCCTGTGGAAGCATTCTGAGGGCACAACAGAAGCGTGGTTGAGAAAGCCCTAAAATCTGCTGGGTCATCAGCTTTTTTCCAGGCCTTGGTCCTGCTACCCACGTCCGGGAAGCCTCATGAGGCAGTGAGTCAGCTGGTGCGTCTGACCAATGACCAGTCAGTTGGCGCTTAACAAGGAGGCGGCTTCATCCCAGGAGTAAAGGGGGCCACACACTTGCAAGCCAAGCAAGGTTTACATGCAGCAGCACCCCCAAACTATGCACATTTCCAAATTCTATACTGCTGAGTAAACATTCTGTCATCCCCGTCTCCTTGCTGCCATCTAGTTTGTGCTCCAGCTAGTTTTTGCTGCCCCATCCTTGCCTCTCCTGGTATTTGGGAGGAGTCACTTCTTTATTCTATGCAGAGATTAGCTGTCATTTTATATATGATGAGCTGGAGGCTTGAGGTCTATGATTAGGGTACATGGTTGATATTTCCATTCAGATGGTATTTACATTCACCGCCTCACCTGAGCCCCACCCATTGTTGCTCAAGCGGGTGACAGTCCCTGCACAAGAAACAACTGCGTGCCGAGGGGACGCACCTCTTCCGCGCCCGGGACTCCGTGCCACCACCGCCCTGCAGCGAACGCCCGCGCCGCCAGCGCCACCACCTGAGCGGCCCGCCACGCCCCTGCACGGGTGGGAGACATGCTCCGGACAGGGCAGAGCGTCAGGAGGCCCTGCGCCCTGAAAGCGCCGGCGGCAGCCGGGGCCGGCGGCCTTGGGCCAGCGGCCGAAGGGAGATGGCCAAAGGGCAGTCGCTGCCATTTGGAAGCCGTTTGGGAGCTGAGCAGGGGGCTGGGCTGGCCAGGGGGCTTTGACTGGCTGTCCTATAATTGGCCCTCCAACTGTTCTTATAATTTTATTGTATTTTAAACTGTTTTTGGAGTCGTCCCTGGCCATGTCACTGCTTGTGCTTCCTGGGGAGCGCACGGATGCTGCCATTGGGGTAGTATTGGGCAATGGACGTAACAGCGGTGGGAGCTTAACATGTCTGCATAGAAGAAGGAAGGACAGATGGCTGTCACCTGTCCCTACTTCTGGTTTTGCCCCCAGCCAGAGGGTGCCAGGGAGTCTTGTCAGCCGCCCCTCGGGCCTGACAGTGCTGTTGCTTAATGCCAGGTCGGTCAATAACAAATCTTCCCTCATCCATGATTTGATTGTGGATGAGGGGGACGACCTGGCTTGCATTACAGAAACCTGGGCGGGAGAAGGGGGGGATGTTGCCCTCTCTCAACTGTGCCCACCCGGGTATCTGGTTCAGCACTGTTCGCGCCCGGAGGGGAGGGGAGGGGAGGGGGGGGTCGCTTTGGTTTACTGAGCCTCCATCTCTCTCACTGGACTTCCTGTCCCTTCGAAACCAGGGGTGGAGTGTCTTTACTTGGTGTTGGGCGACCGAGACATATTGGGGATTCTGTTGGTGTACCGTGCACCCTTCTGCCCAACAGTCTCCCTGCCTGAGCTGACGGAGACCGTCTCGGACCTGATGTTGAGGACCCCCAGGATGTTGGTCCTGGGGGACTTCAATCTCGATGCTGAGACAGGTCTGACCGGGGCGGCTCAGGACTTCATGGCCTCCATGGCGGCCATGGGGCTGTCCCAACATGTCACCGGCCCGACCCATGAACATGGACACACTCTGGACCTGGTTTTCTCGACGGGGCAGGAAGAGGGTGGTCTGAGGGTGAGGAATTTATGCTTGACTCCCCTGTCATGGTCAGATCACTTTCTGGTGAGGTTTGTGCTCGAGAGCAACCTCTCCCTCTGTAAGGGTGCAGACCCGATTGTGTGGGTCTGCCCCCGGAGCCGGAT